GACAGGAAATGCATACATAATATATCAGCAGCCCAGATGTTTACAAATACAGGCAGTAGAGAGTAGCAGATTCCTACACAATTAGAAATATCTGCAGCTCCTCTAAACTGATTAAAAAAACGTTTTCACAAAAGCATCTCTTAACATTTTCTATCCGAACACTTAACCAATGACATAACTACCTCCTTTCGTCTATATGAGTCCATAGCATTAACAACCCACCCCCCTGTGGTTACATCATCAAGTTGCATGGTACTTATAGGAGGATGCTGCAAAGATTAGCGCTCGGTCATTCCACAACCAGACTGAGAGGGCGTGGCATGACTTGAAAGAATTGTTTATTCAGGGAAGCTAGACGTGTTCTGCAATATTGAAGGAGAAATATAGCTTATCTAACCACTTCTTCTGATGAGTGTAAGGAACATACCCCAGAAATTAACTTCACTCAGGTAACACAGGCATCTTAATCCAATTACCATGGTAAGGCAGATGTTATTGTCCAAGAACAGGATGAGACATGTGAAAGTTGTGGAACCACCCTGTTCAGGTTACATAATCCAATCCTTGGTGTCAGGAAGGCTTCTCGGGTATTAATCATTTGATTTACATGGCTAAAGGTGTGAATGGCCCAACATAGGAAAACAAATTCAACAAGTCAAGACTACAGGTTTCCTACACCATAAGGAAAGGGTAAATTCTTATGAGGACAGTGAGGAGCACATTTTGGACAGGGAGGACAACTGGTTCATAAGAGGTGTGAAAGAGGCCATCTATATCAAACTGAAACCACTGTCCTTGAAAAGAGATGGGGAGCTTCAACACCATTTGTTTTCCATATATAATGCCATTAAAATATCCTAAGCCTTTTGATTTTACATCAATTCACACCTTTGGCCATGTAAATCAAAGAACTAACACATATGCAAGCTTCTTGGTATAGGGGACTGGAATCTCCAGTGGCTGCTATAGATAAAGAGAATTCCTAGTGGCTTTGTTCATAAACAAAAGTGAGCAGCCAAAACTGCCATTTACCAGCAATTTACATGATTTTTTTCATTGGTCTTACTGTAGTACAGATGTGTCCCTTCACAGGCAGACTATGCGCAGCCCCCCCCCCCCCCCCCCGAGCATGTTATTTAAAAGAATGTTGTATTTTTAATGTTTCACTTTATGCATTATTATAATAGCTGTTCCCCACCAAAAAGAACATTAGCAAAATAGATTTTTACTTTGGTACACGCTCTCTAGGGTAGTGCCCAGCCATCCATGCCATTTGTTCTAGGCGTATTAGCCTAGAAAATGGACAAACTGGTTTTTAACAGTCAGCTATCTTTGACTTCATTGGGGTTTAAATTTAGCACCTGTTGTAAAAGTTTCCAAACCCGCCTCGAACCAAGCACAGGTAGGTTCAGCTCATCATTGCTCCTGATACAGAGTGGAAAATTGGTTACACAAGGAGAGCGTATGGAAAGCCTAGGGAAATGCCAGTGTAATCTGCAGTATTAAGCCATCAGTTTGACAGCTAATGCAGGCCATCCATGGGTTGAATTATGAAATAATTTTCTTTAGGAAATAGTAAACTAAGAATTTTAGTGTGAAATTCACATCAGTGGACTGCATTTTCATCTGATTTTCATGCAGTCATCAAATTTGAGTGATTGGGCATGTTGGAAATATTTTGAAAACAAAAAAATTTCTAATCAATGATAGGAGAATCGTGCGAGAAAGTATAATTATAGTTGAAGAGAAATGAGCATGAACTGTGACCTGGAAAGAAATCAGATTCCCAGCCACGAAAATTCTTTTCTTTAGCAATATAAAGTGAAATTGAAGGCTTGGTTGGTTGAATTTCAAAATCAATGATGGCAGAATTGGATTACAAAACGCTCAACATTTCCTATTTTCTAAAGAAAATTAGTTCAGAATGCGACCCATATATAGCATGCATTAGTCCCGCATAACGTAGGAGATGTAGATGTGGGAGAGACTTCCTCCTAAACTGGAAGATGCAGAGGCAGGAGTGCCTCCCCCAACAGCATGGCATTCAAGACACCTCTTCCACCCGGCCCTGGATACAGGGAGCAGTAGCTGCAGCAGTACCCATCTTTCAGGCAAATTGACACCATGCCATAATACACATCATGAACCTGAAACATGGAAGTCACAAAGCAAGTGTGCTGCTGGCATGAGTTCGCTAAATACATAAATGGTCTTTTATTTTTTTCTCCAAGGCTAGAATGTCATTATGTGCTCTGACAAATCAACACTAACACTATGATTTCCTCATGCCATTATTTTGTAGCACAAAATAAACTAATCAGTCTTCCAAGTTTTTGAAAGTTCATTCATTTCTAGCTTTGAGTCATAAATTATTAGCAACAATTTCAGTCCAGCACTGCTTCAAACCGCCCATATGCACTTGTACAGTACATCTTATTCATAATGGATCCAGTTAAATGTCATGTTTTTTATGCATCATTTCCAAGAATCACATTATTCTAGCTGTTCTTTGAGAGGTCAGAGAGCTCAAATCATAACTGCATGCATTGGCCAATATGATTCCCCACTGAGGGAGCACTATATACTGCTTGATCTGCCCCAACTTTACTACATTGAAAGGTCTGTAGAAAAATTCTTTTATGATGTGCAGATTTATGCATCACTTTCTGGGGGCTGTCAAAGGTCACATAAGGATTGAAGGGTTGCGTTTGCTTCTGCATAGTACAGGCAATGTAGCAAAAATGAGGGGTAAGAGAAGAGCTAGGGCACCAAGGGAATCCAATGTTTGAATGCTGACCTAGTCTGTGAGCTCTACTTAGGGAACATCAGTTTGCCTTTCCATTAGCCAGCTCAGAAAAGATTACAACCAGCAAAATATTTATCCCTCACTTCAAGTCGTAGCATATTAAAGGAAACTGGAAACAAAAAAAATTAAGTTTGATCATGTTATTCACTCTTGATTTTATATTTTTCTATTGCACATTTAATTTAAATGAATATGTATTATTGTTGTGCAAATACAATCCCCTGACGTGTGTTTATCCAGTTTTTACATTTGCAACACAGAACTTATAGACAGGGGCGGACTGACAACTCATGGGGCCCCGGGAAATAGGGGATCATGGGGCCCCTGTGTCCTTGCCCAAACTCAAAAAAGCCTATGAAAAAGGTACCAGGGGCATTTCATGGGGCCCCATACTGACCCCGGGCCCTCGGGCAGTGCCCGAGTTTCCAATGGTCAGTCCGCCCCTGCTTATAAAGATGAATAAAATAGGACATGCAACTCTGAAACAAATCGTATATAATAAAAAGTGTGCTACTTAATATAAGGTGTGCAAGTAAGAATAATTTCATGACTGAAGGCATTATACTGCTTTATTAAGAGTGGAAACCCCTTTTAAGGCTACGTTCACACTAACTATGTCAGCAGGTGTCAGACAGGCGTTTGGGAAGCGTTTTAATGCCTATGAAAATTCTGTACATGGCTGCACACAGTGCTGTTCATACAGAAGCGTTAGCGTCGCGTTGCGTTACTGCAAAACTGATGCCTCGTGTTGAGTCAGGAGGCGTTGAAGCCTCCCATTCAAGTCTATGGTGCCGCTCTGCAAATGCCAGGCAGGCAGAGTGGTGCGGTTGCGAGGCGGTTGCAGAGCATTAATACCATTTAACTTCATTATAGGAGTTTGTGGTGCGGTTTTAACGCTTGGCAAAGCAACCTCCTCAAAAACCGCGCATGGGGCGTTTTGGGATCATTTGGGGAGCGTTAAAAACACTTCCCAAATGCCTGCCTAACGCCTGTCAAACGCTATAGGGGCGTTGGCAAGAGTTAGAAATAAAGTCAAGTTTGAATGAACCCTAAGTGTTGGACCTCACGTAACAATAATTTACTGTGCATAGGCCAATACAGCAGCCATTAATATTCTGTACATAAGGGTGGCATTAAGGAATATGTAAACCCAACATTTCATATTCCTGATATGTGTCTGCTGTACCATGTACTTGTATGAAAAACTATCCTATTCTGTTCGTATTGCTTCCTTTGTATGAAATCCCTGGTGTTCCTGCCATTTCCTCTGCTTTCCTATTAAAAACTGACCACACTAAGCAGGAGAACACACCAGTCAGTTCTCTAGCTATGCTGTGAAGTCAGTGTACTCTTCTCCAATGATCAGACTTGTCCTGACACCTGCTCCACCCCACTCCCCTCCAACAGCAATTCACTGGGAAGATCAGCGTACTGCAGTTTCTCCTCCCCCAGCTCTTATGCAACCGAGAACAGAGGAATGTGATCACTTATTAAAAAAAAGGGAAATAAGGTTTTTTGTAATTTTTTTTATATGTATACACACATGTTTTGCCTTTCATTTCTATTTTAAATTGAGGGTTTACAATCACTTTAAGCTCTGAAACAGTGAGGACAATAGTGGAAGTAAAACTAAACTTTCACAAAAGAATATTTTTTTTGGAACATCGAGTAAAACAGTTTGTTATTGGAATACAATTTTCTTCTAACTTTGATTTCTCTCCATGCATGATTCACACCTGGTAGAATTGTTAAAATAAACTCCCTATAGACGCATATGCAATGTAGTGTCAGCTGAACATTACAGTTTCAGAGACGTACGTGCCTTTGCATTGTGCATCAGCACAGCTGTTTGGAGTCCAACTCAGGAATATGCAGGATAGGGTCACCAGCTTTAGGAAAAGAAGTGCTTATGCTCACCCTAGGAAAAATGAAGTGTTTGTCTCTACACCTCCCTGGAAAGATCATCAAGTATGGTTTATTTAAATGTATATAAAAAAAAGGAATAAACCTTTTTACATTACAGTATAGGAATGTGTGCAACAACAAATGTGGTTTAAGTGTTTGGATCTAGGTACACTTCAAAGCTGTATAGCTGAATTTACCATGACTAACCCTAGGTTCACACGCCTAAGCATTTTCCGCAGCTTTTTGCAGAAACACAGTACAGTCCATTTAACATGATTTCCTAAGGGGCAGGTTCACATCTCCACGTTTTCACCCGGTGCGTTATTTGGAAAGGGTCAGGGACTTTTTTGAATGCAAAACGTTGTGTTTTTGGTTCTATAGACTTCAATGGAAACGCTGCAGAAAAGCATGTATTGTGTTTTTGCTGCGTTTTTGCTGCGTTTTGCATTTAAAACCTACCTAGCAACAATAAAAATAAAAAATAAAAAAAACGCAAAGCACATAAAAACGCGTCAAAAACGCAAAAAATGCAGTGCAAAACGCAGCGCAAATTGCAATGCAAAAACGATTCAAACACAACCTGCATAGTGTAAACAATAAAAATATGAGCGCTGGGTGACAATAGGCAAAATACAGACGGGAGCAGCCAGCATAGAAGAGGAAACAACCTCAAATCCTCCAAGAAATGCCAAGAATAAAAGTACAAAATGCGGCGCTCTCTAACAATATTTACAATATGCAGATGGTATCTCACAGTATTCAAACTTATTTGATATAATACATATGAATTGATGTGACTGTTGTGATACAGTGAGCAATAATAAAACTTTTGTGACTGCTGTGACTGTGGTACTAAATACCAACAACAAAGCTTATTAGATATAGTTCATGCACGGTGATTTGACTATAGGTACACAATAAGTAAAGATTAATATTTGCGACTGCTGTGGCTAGAAGCAAAAAGCATATTATGCACCAATTAGATAGTGTCCCATAGTAACAAAAACTTGTAGGGTATAGTTAATGCGGAATAATGTGACTGCGGTGACACAGTGAACAGCGGATAACTTTCATGACTGCTGTGGCTGGAAACAATGAGCATACTATGCACTAACCAGATAGCACAGATCAATGTGCGTTGGAGTAAATAAGACCTACTCCTCGGTACTCTGGGGATGGGAACTCAGCATGCGGATGTGATCATCAGGTGGAGGTATTTCACCAGCTGTCATCTCTCCAATGCAGGATTCCACATCTCAGGTCAACCGTGTCCAGCAGTACAATTTCCAACCATCAGGGGGATCATACAAGCAGGTGGAAACCAGGGAAAGATCCTTCAGGATAAGGACTCTCAGTGCCAGATAAATGAGCCCAGAGAGAAAAGAACTCCAATAGTGTAGTATGTTTAATGGTAATATGAGAATAACATCAAGGTACAGGTAAATAAGCAGAGCCAGCACTTACATCTGAGGTAGTTTGCAGGTAATGCAGTTAATATTCGATGAGAAAGGGTATCTTCTAACGCGTTTCGTGTAATAACACATTTTCAAAGGGACTACTACAACCTGCATAGGTGTGAACCTAGCCTAAGGGATTGCAGATACTGAGGCTTTCAGCTTTACCTTCAAAACCCCCAAACAGCAGAATTTAACCCAAAAATGACCAGACTGCTAATGGTTTCCTTTGGGTTCAAACTGTCATTGGTCATAGCAGCCATTTATTATAAATTCCAAGTCACTTGGAAGGCACATTACATGGAAGGCACAGCAGGGCACATTATATGGAAGGCACAGCAGGACACGTTACAAGGAAGGCACAATAAGACTTATCACTTGGAAGGCACATTACATGGAATGCACAGCAATGCAGGTTACATGGAAGGCACAGCAGGACATGTCACTTGGAAGGCACCTTACATGGAAGGCACAGCAATGCAGATTACATGGAATGCAGAGCTTGGCACATTACATGGAAGGCACAGCATGGCACATTACATGGAAGGCACAGCAGGACATGTCACTTGGAAGGCACACATTACATGGAAAGCACAGCAGGACACCTTACATGGAAGGCACAGTATGGCACATTACATGGTAGGCACAGCATGGGACGTTACGTTGAAGACACAGCAGGTCATGCTACATGGAAGGCAAAGCAATGCAGGTTACATGGAAAGTACAGCAGGACATGATACATGGAAGGCACAGCATGACATGTTACATGGAAGGCACAGCATGGCATGTTACATGGAAGGCACAGCATGGCACATTACATGGAAGGTACAGCAATGCAGGTTACATGGAAGGCACAGCTTGGCACTTTACATGGAAGGCACAGCAGGACATGCTACATGGAAGGCAAAGCAATGCAGATTACATGGAAGATACAGCAGGACATGTTACATGGAAGGCACAGCATGGCATGTTACATGGAAGGCACAGCATGGCACATTACATGGAAAGCACAACATGGCATGTTACATGGAAGGCACAGCAGGACAAATTACATGGAAGGCACAGCATGGGACATGTTACCTGGAAAGTACAGCATGGCACATTATACAGAAGGCATAGCAGGACACATAACATGGAAGACAAAGCATGGGATTAAAAAAAATAGAAATTATCATGTCAGATTGAATCAGGAAAGCAGATAAAACCCAACTGTGCAATCACTTCACTGTGTTAGTTAATCAAAATCAAATACTGGTGAAGCGCTTCCAATATTCCAATATGACATAACAAATCAAATATCATATAACCTCATACCATAACCCTATATCATAAACAGATCCCCCCAGTATTCAGTATCCTTTTGTGAATGTGCCAAAAAAAACAAGAAAAAGAAAATTTTTTATATATATATATATATATATATATATATATATAGTATATATATTATATTTTATATATATATATATATAATATATACAGTGTATATATATATATATATATATATATATATATATATATATATATAAACAGTTGTATTCAAAATAATAGCAGTCAGACATCACTAACCTGTTCAATCACTGTTTTTGGTAGAAATTATATTTCTACATGGCAAATAATTTACTAGCAGGTGTAGTAGAGTAATAGAAATCCAACAGACCCAACAGTCATGACATGCATGCTGCTGATTCTGTGTAATTGAATCACTAATTGAAAGGGGCATGTTCAAATAATAGCAGTGTGGAGTTCTATTAGTGAGGTCATTCATTCTTTGAAAAACAGGTGGCAATTATTGCCCTTATTTAAGGAAGGAAGGCAGCAAATGTTGTACATGCTGGGGACAGTGCATTTCTCTCTGAAATTCTGAGGAAAATGGGTTGTTCCACACATTGTTCAGAAGAACAGCGTACCTTGATTAAAAAGTTGATTGGAGAGGGGAAAACATATAAAGAAGTGCAGAAAATGATAGGCTGCTCAGCTAAAATGATCGCAAATGCTTTAAAATGGCAACCAAAACCTGAAAGACGTGGAAGAAAGCATAAAACTACCATTCGAATGGATAGAAGAATAGCCATAATGGCAAGGACTCAGCCAACAATCAGCTCCAGGAAGATCAAAGAAGGTCTAAAGTTACCTGTGAGTACTGTTACAATTAGAAGACACCTATGTGAAGCCAAGCTATCTGCAAGAAGCCCCCGCAAAGTCCCACTGTTGAAAAAAAGACATGTGCTGAAGAGGTTACAATCTGCCAAAGAGCACATTGACTGGCCTAAAGAGAAATGGCGCAACATTTTGTGGACTGATGAAAGTAAGATTGTTCTTTTTGGGTCTAGAGGCCGGAGACAGTTTGTCAGACGACCCCCAAACACTGAATTCAAGCCACAGTACACTGTGAAGACAGTGAAGCATGGTTGCGCAAGCATCATGATATGGGAATGTTTCTCATACTACGGTGTTGGGCCTATTTATCGCATACCGGGGATCATGGATCTGTTTGAATACATCAGAATACTTGAAGAGGTCATGCTGCCTTATGCTGAAGAGGAAATGCCCTTGAAATGGGTGTTCCAACAAGACAACGACCCCAAACACACCAGTAAACGTGCAACATCTTGGTTCCAGACCAACAAGATTGACGTTATGGAGTGGCCAGCCCAATCCCCAGATCTTAATCCAATAGAAAACTTGTGGGGTGACATCAAAAATGCAGTTTCTCAGGCAAAACCAAGAAATAGAGAAGAACTGTGGAATGTAGTCCAATCATCCTGGGTTGGAATACCTGTTCACAGGTGCCAGAAGTTGGTTGACTCCATGCAACACAGATGTACAGCAGTTCTCAGAAACAGTTCTTATACTACTAAATATTAATTACCGTATTTTCCGGCATATAAGCGACTGGGTGTATAAGACAACCCCCTAATTTTCCAGTTAAAACATAGGTTTTGGGCTATACTCGCCGTATAAGACTACCCCCCTTCCGAGGCAACACCATTTAAAAACATCAGATTTTTTAAATTGAAATCATAAGTTCATGAATGACATCTTGTGATACATTTGTAAGACAGTCATCATATGGATCAAATTCCAAATCAGATGGTTACTGCTGGATGTGCGGTAATACGGTAGCTTCGGCTACATACAGTATACAGTATATATACAGCCCGCTGGATGTGCAGTAATGTACATACAGTATACCGCGCTGAGCAAGCTGGCTCAAAACAAATGTCCCTATGACAGATTAATCTGTCAGCCCGCTGGATGTGTGGTATATACAGTATATTGAGTATATACCACTGTGGTATATACCAGGGGCGGACTGACCATTTGGAAACTCGGGCACTGCCCGAGGGCCCGGGGTCAGTAGGGGGCCCCATGAGATGCCCCTGGTACCTTTTTTCATAGGCTTTTTTAAGTTTGGGCAAGGACACAGGGCCCCATGATCCCTTATTGCCCAGGGGCCCCATGGGTTGTCAGTCCGCCCCTGGCATATAGAGTATACTGAGCCAAGCTGTCTCAAAACGTATTGGTACGTCCCTACTGTAATCAGCCCGCTGGATGTGTGTATGTACAGTAGCTGAGGCTACATACAGTATACGCTGGGCCAATCACGGCGAGCGATGTATTCGACTAATGAATACAAAGCCTGCTCGGATTGGCTGAGGTTGTGACATCATCAGCCCACCTCTCTGACTAGAAGAATAAAGAAGAATACAAACACTGCTATTTTTTTTGAACAGTCTAATATTCACTTTATTCAATTTTTTTAGAGGAACAACACAAATTTGATATATTTTCATTCATGTTTTGATTTGGAATAGAATGTGTAGTGTTCCCAATGCATTTGTGTGTATGGAAATAAAAGCTATTAGGAGGGATTTTGAGCTTTATTTACTTTTTTCAACACACTGCTATTATTTTGAACACAACTGTATATAACATAATTGTAGGACTTCTTCAGAAACACAGTGCAAGTACCAAACTAACTGCTATTATTTTGAACACAACTGTATATACTGTATACATATATATATATATATATATATATATATATATATATATATATATACACACACAGTATAGCTCTTAAAGCATAAAAAAAACCAAAAACCTACAGTCCAATGTGAGAGTCCTATACACCAACCAATCCTCGTGCACTCTTCAATCGATATATTAATTCTTGTCAGAACAACAATATGACTTTCTTCAGCGTGAACAAACACCACCGTGCCCTTCACCACACCTCAAATTGGTTTGGTTGGTGTATGGGTCTCTCACATTGGACTATACATTTTTTTTTATGCTTTAATAGCTATACTGTGTTTGTATATACATATATATATATTTTTTTTTTTTCACAGAAGGATACTGAATACTGGGGGAATCTGTTTATGATATAGGGTTATGGTATAAGGTTATATGATATTTGATTTGTTACGCCATATTGGAAGCGCTTCACCAGTATTTGATTTTGAAAGTATTGGACATGTTACATGGAAGACACAGCAGGACAATTTACATGGAAGGCAGAGGAGGACACATTACATGAAAGACACAGCATGGGACATGCTACATGGAAGGCACAGCAGGACATGTTACATGGAAGGCACTGCATGAGACATGTTACATGGAAGGCACAGCATGGGACATGTTACATGGAAGGCACTGCAGGACCCATTACTATGGGGCGAGGCAGCAGTCTGTCCTTCAGCACAATCAATACACCTTCCGCCCCCCCTCAGTCTGCCACAGTGTTTAGAACTCCCCCCACCTCCTCCCTCCATTCACAGATCTCAGCAGACTTCAGTGGCATGGGAAATTTCCTTTCTCCTGGGCTCCCAGTGCAGGGGCGGACTTACCATTTGGAAACTCGGGCACTGCCCGAGGGCCCGTGGTCAGTAGGGGCCCCATGAGATGCCCCTGGTACCTTTTTCATAGGCTTTTTTGAGTTTGGGCAAGGACACAGGGGCCCCATGATCCCCTATTGCCCGGGGGCCCCATGAGTTGTCAGTCCGCCCCTGTCCCAGTGGTTAGGATGATGTCATCGTCCCACCCCCATACAGCTGCCTGCAGCTCCTGGACATTGAGAGGATCTGTCTCTGAGATCCTATAACAGGAGTCCAGTACATAGGCAAAGACA